GAATTGCCTCTTCTTTTACTTTTGCTTGGCTGATATCAAAGACGCTTGCTCAAGCAATGAGTGAGAAGATGGCGTACCATTTTCACATTTTATAGAAATCATGATCATGTGGTTCTTACTCTTAATTAAATGACAGATGACATACGATCGCTTTCAATGACAGAGGTAGCAAAATTTCAATATTAAAAGATGCTCATGCAGACTGCGATTCCATATTTTGATTATAATTTCTTGACTCTGCCGAATAAAGCAGTTTGCTATGCTCAATTAATTGCAAATAAATTTATGCCACCAAGGTGAGCAAGTATTTTTAATAAATAATCGTATTTCCTTCAGACATATGGTTGATAAACAGTAAAGTCATGTAATGTTTGTGTTCGTTTAAAATGAATAGGGCACGAAGTGGTCCAGCAAAAGTCATCTGTGACCTACTTTTGTGTATAGTCTCTAGCATATTACGTTGGAACTAATTAATCAACTGCAATTCTACCTGTAGGGAGGGGAGGAGGAAGAACAGGGATATCAGAAACTCCTGGAGGAGGCAAGATTTTTACTAATATTATTACCATAAGCAAAACTTCATCTTTATTCACGTGTGACACTTTGCCAGTTTAATTTACGATTTATTGTTTTTTCCAGCATTATGATCACTAATAGTAGATTAGGTAAAAAACATTAAATTTGCAATTCAATATTGAAGAACGTACTTCATCACCTAGAGAAAAAATACCACCCGTTCCTCGATAATCTTTTGAGATAAATTCCACGGAGATATGCAGAGGAAAAGAGAGAGCAAGGTTTTGTGAGACAGTGAGTGGATTTGGTAGATTTTCAAAGCTCACTCGCACGGCTTCGCACAGAGGACCAGTGTTGACACGATTTCGAGGACATTCACAGCTACAAACACATAGAAACTTCGCGATATCAGATATCTGGTTATTAACAGGCTAAGAAATCAACATGAAATATTGTATTAAGTATAAGCATCGCTTAAAAATGCTTTATTATTTAAATCAAGAGTAACTTATAAGTACCTTAAGAAATAGATTGTAATGGTTGAACAACTGAGCTGTTTCTCAAGTTATTTTTAAAACAACTAGAAAGAGTTCATTTCTTGTTTTGAATATGCAAAACCTGAATCGTAAAAATTTGAAAATTCAAAGTTTTCCAGGAATGTGTAGGCCCTTCTTGAGACACTAATAAATTCTTTAGGGACAGACAATTACATTCAATGTAATGAATAATAAATGGACTAAACTTGACTTACAAATCTACGTATGTTGATAACAATTATTAAGGAAATAGACACCAAATCCAGATATTTGAGTTAGAAGATGAAGACTTAAATTGTAGGCGGTAAGTGTTTTTCCATAACTAGCCACTAAAGTCATCACCCAATCGTTCGAAATTGGGCAAATTTTCAGACAATCTGAAAAACTATATTTAATGAGTAATTACGAAGATTCGATACTGCCTTAACAACCGACTTTTTATTCAATCGTTCACTTTATTCGGTAACTAGATAATCAGACAAAATAACATTTTTATTTATTATCATCTATATTTATTCAAAACTGAAAAATCATTCAAGATAAATTGATATTTATATATATTATTTAGTTTTAAAATGTCTTTCCATTTTAATATGCTAAACTATGGTTAAAACTTTCTTCAGGAAGGAGAAAATTCGCAAGAATTATTCATTTTATGATAAAGTCAGCCCATAGGGAAGTTTAAATGATGGCGATAAGTAGCGTGAATTAAACCACCCACCAACCCACATCTTTCTATTGAGGAAGACATTTCTCGCGCAAAAATGTGAAAAATGAACAAACTTCACTTCAGGTGTGTGAAGAGCACACAAAAGTGACCTCACAAACCTTTTTCACACAACAAATTTCTCGAAGTTATGTCACTGCTCAGCGAATGGAAGTTTGGTGGCCTCGGTTGAAGAAAAACGGTGGCATCAGGTCACACACACAACAAATTGGAAAGGACAAATCGGATTCAAAAAAATGTGTTCATTGCGTACAATTTTGAGAACTAGTGAGCAAGCAATTCAGCTTAGCTAAATCAGGAAATTGCAAATCTCCTTCGCGGATAAGCTAATACTTCCTGACTGCGTCAGAGCCCCCATCTGAATCCTCAAATTCCTATTTGTGTTTCATGAATTCATCTATTGACAAGAGGTAGAACTGTCAACTGGTAATGCGACACATAAAATTCCGTTTTTGTCATTTAATGGTACTGTCTTGGTAACTAGAGTCATAGCATCTAGAAAACACCTAAAAACCATTCCTTTGATTTGTAAAATCCTCTTGAGTAAAGTTTTTTGAATATATAATAAGTCCTAGGTTTGAGCAAACTCAAAGAAAACGCAAACGAACACATCGTTAAAATATCTCAACAACCTGAAGCCAAGTATTTTAACAAAAGCAGTTACTCTGCGTTTGGTTACGGTGAAGATCCTCCCAGGTAGCTTACGAACAAAACTAAAAGTTCCTAGAATTTTAAATATTTGAACTTTTTATTTAAAGTTGCAATCATTTAACATTAACAATTTCATTTATTTAGCCTAATAGACTTCCCGTTAAGCTAGTTGTTAAATTATATCATTCATATTTCTAGCGAAAGAATTTGTGCCATTTTCAATTCAAGTAGTGAACATAGAATAAAAAATGCTGCTAATCAGTTCCCTCTTGGACAGCTATGCTAAATTGCTATTTATTCATTCGATATTAGTTAAAGAGGGCAGCATTTAGTGGATCCACAATCAAGACTAATCCATTTTACATTCGATCCACGCGATTACTATGAACTACCTGGAAGAAATTAATTAAATACAAACTCACAATGTCCGACCATTGACTGTCTGTCGTATTCCACCATGCATGCAACTTGGATACTCATTCAAACATTCCACCAATAAAGGCACAAGGCAAATCATTAATTGCAGCAGTATATTTCTCATCTAAAATGAACAAAACAAAAACGATGACAAATGAATAACCCAATTTGAGTCAGATAACTGGTATCACCTCCCTCCGCCTTCAGTATGCAAATTAGATTTGAATAATCAAAGTATGATAATGATAGCGGTCATGATGTCATTAAAACGTGAGAAAAGGGGTATTAATCATCGAGGAAATGGCATAGAAAGGAAAAACCTAGACTATTGATGTAGAAGGGGGGAGGGGGGAGAGGAGGACGAAATGTGCATTTAATCAAACGAAGGGCTGGAAAACATTTCGAGTGCGTGTATTGCCTGACATCTTGAGTCCAAGCATCTGCATTGTCGCTGATTTGCATGAAAATGAACAGCGATGGCAAAGTCTGGACCAGGTGGTCTCCTTTGCACCTTAACATTGTACTCGGAAGACGACAAGCATCCCTACTAAACATTTACCATTGTACTTCCTAGTTTCCTTCCGCCAATAAATTCATGTTAATTTGGTTTATTAAAAGTCAACGTATGAATGCAGAAGAAATAGTTCCAAGGGGGCCCATTTAGACGAATGCTCTTTGAAGAGATATTCGGAAAAATTGCCTTAAACATTTAAACTGGATTTTAGCCTAATCAGGGAAGAGCAGTTGTCAAGATTGTCATTTCAAATTTCAAATTTGCCACCCACGTCGAAGGAAAACGTCGAGTCGTAAAATAATTATGATTCAAAGGTCAGGTGCGCAGTTTGCTCAGTGGTTGACCTAAGGAGTTTAAAGAAGAGGCCTATTTCTTGGGTCAATGATGGGTAAAAAGACAAGTGGTAGAACATGAATCATTCCACCCCAAAGAAATGGTTGATTCCATAACCCACTGATTTTCATAATGGAAGTTTGAATTAGACTGTAAATATTTTTCCAAACAATGTCTTTTTAACTTACCATATTAGGACAAGATATTGATCTCCTATATCTTTGAATAACAAAAGTTCAAAGCTTTAATAATTAAGAAAATTGTATACATCTACAAAGCATTAACCTATAGTAATCTGTGGGGTTGATCATAAGATGATCTGGCATTAAAAGAAAGACATTGAATCAGTTTTCCTATCAATATTATGTGCTTCTAAGATTAATTAAATAAAGAAGACATGGGAGTTCACTTTATTTTTTTGATTGGAGATATTTTATACCGTATTACCGAAGTATTAGCTATATGAAAGAAAATTTATTAATGTCACTCAGGACAGTTGCATGCTATCGGTGACATTTCTCGACAGGAAAAAATCAGAAAAAAATAAATTGAATTAAATATTCCTGTGCGCCACAGATATGTCTGAGAGAGAGTGCCTGTGGTTAGTGCAGGGGTGAATTGAAGATGTCGTTTTGCTAGACTGAATTAAATGCTAAAGTAAAAGCTATTTCAATATAAAAAATTAAAGGGCTTAGAAGTGTATGAATGAAAAACTAATAAAAAACATGGAATAGAAATCAATCCATTTGAAATTTCTGCAACGAAGTGCAACCATATTTTAAGCAAAACAGTTCAGATGTTAAAGAAAGCAAAAACACTGACCATTATTCTAACATCTAGTACGATCGACAACCAAATTACTTATCAATCGAATCACATGCAATCCGAACGATTAGTCAAAACCCGGCGCCCTTGTGAAAGACAATCGTGTGCACCGGTGCAAACGCTAGGCAATTGATTATCAACCAATCAGAACCATATACACTTGGCTTTAATTGGCTCCCCATTTAGCCAATCAGACATTCGGGTAGAGCAGGCGCTCTTTTAAGATCTTTGACGCAAATAACATTCGTTGAATAACAAGTTATACTGTAAAACTGTGATAATGGAACTTAGATTAAACTTTGCAATGTACTTTTCCAAGTAAGAGTATTTCACGACTGCTTAATTTTTCAAATGATTTGATCAAAATGCTATTTTTTAAATACTAATCTAATTAGTATACTATATTGGCTTCTCCAATTAATGATTTTCTAAGATTATTTAGGGTAAATATCCTGAGATGCTCTCAAATATTCATTGAAAAACATTTTAGATCTGTTCGATTCATGCCTCCTAAAAATATCTAAAATTAAACATTATTTTACTTGTTTGACTTTGGACAAATAACGGTAAATTCTTATCTTTTATGAAAACGGCTTCAAAATGGCGCATTTACACAAGGTGTACTAATGTCTAAACGATTTCGTCTTGTCGTTGATATTTTTTAACATACTCTCAACTTCTCTATTTATATTTTAAAGATTAGATCATCAGCCCTTAAAATTCCAAACTAGTCAAATAATTTGACTGAATAAAATGTTTTTGTGTTAAAACAAGTTCAGAAGAAAGTCATTTGTTATATTTTGCACAAACGGGTGTAACATGGATCAATTAGTGACAATACACCACTTGGCCAGTTGTTATCACTAGACCTTCTCAGATTTTGCCTTTATGAAAAAAACGAGCGATGTTGCACTGTCTGTTTCTTCAAAATGCTCGGAGTAAAGAAGTTTTGAAGTTCATTTTTTGACTAACTGAATTAATAAAGTTAAGTTACGAGTAATAGATAAATTAGAGTTTTTAAAATTCGCCATATTAAGAATTCGCAACAATGTAGGATATCGAAAGTCAAGGGTCAGTATTAAATTATTTGATCGCATAACAAAACGGATCACAGTAACATGCGAATTTCAATAATTCTTTATTCTGAGGCGAGCCTCTCATAACATTAAGTCAGAACTTAGGCGAGTTATAAATATGCCCTCTGCTGCATTCTTTTTCCGACAATTACTTAGATTGATGTTTAGGATCGTAAGAAACAGAATAAAAATGGAAGCTTTTCTTTTTTTGACATTTAATATCAAGTCGTTGAAACCAAGGAGTCTTTCAAAAATGACCAAGAGTCGACCTCAATTCAAACCGGGAACATTGCCTGGTGCTCAGTTTTGCGAAGAAAAAATGTAGAACAGCTATGCTTTTTGCTAGTTCAACAGAACTGAACTTGTTTAAAATCATCATCCTACTGAAGTTTTTATTAACATATAATGAACACCCACTTACAGGTTTATAATTCATACGAGGCATCAATTACATTTCTCAATTTAATAGTCACAAGTAATATTTATCTCATGTTTCCTTTAAATTAACTATTCGAGCACTTTCCACCAAGCAGAGTGCTTTAAAATCGTGTAAAAAAACATTTTGAACCCTTCTCTACCATTTTTAAGGAAGATGATTTCCATTCAAGATCCTCTTGCAATGGTTCCCAATTTAACTTAAGCCTTCACATTTGGATATTCAATTAACTCAAGCGAATAAAAAATTAACTTCTATCTAATGGGTGAAATAACCAATTATTTGATAAGTAAATCAGCGAGAAATCTGCAAAATAAATTGACACCGAAAATTTCAATCGTCATCTATATTTTGTGGATAAAAGTTGTGAACCTTCAACAAATCATATACTTTTGCTTGACCCAATAAGTTTCTTGCGAAGAAATCGGAGATCTGCAGTAAAGCCACGCCATTGCATTACTAAAAGAGGCGAAACCTGAAAAGCCTCCCAGCAAGAAGTTAAAGTATTTTTAATATATGAGACCATTAACCCTTTGATGCTCGAATTACTACTAAAAAAATTCACCCAAGGGCACGCTCACCTTTCTCACAACAGACTGATGTCGCCGGTCTGATGGACTTTTGGAGGCATCAGACGAAGATTATTGACGTACTGAACATGGTTCAAACGGCAATGGCACCTTATGTTATGAGTCTAGTTCAAATGGAACCTATTTTGGAAAAGGACAATAGGGCTCAAAAGCACTAATGGGTCAATGATTTTATTGAGTCAGAAAAAGTAAGCTTAAATAGGTCAGGATACATAAATTTTTATTGATATACCAAAGCTAACACGTAGACACAAATGTTGTTTTAATTAAGCTACGAGAATTTTCGGCAACACTTGTCAAAATGTCAACTATGTGTCATCAATAAATTCTCGAGGAAGAGCATAATTATTAAAATGGCACAACATAAAACAATTCAAAATAAACACTAGTTATATTTATTTCCATATAGTCTGCCAGAAAATATGTTATTCTAATGTATACTCCTTAAGACAACTTAAACTTTTAGATTTAGCGCATGTTGATCGGTTACTTGACATATAACTGATTAGAATAAAAATGTCTTTAAAGAGGTCCGATTCGATCTAATTAGAATTGCTAATTTAACCCATTAAAATTAGTCGACAATTTGGATTTTATTAAAAGTCCACCGATTACCTTCAAATTATTGAATTTTAACAGTATCAAGCATTTTTTCTCAAACAGTGCTTCAAATATTTTATTCTAAATAAAATTACTGCATCATCTATCAATTGAAATCAACTGTTGGTCAGCCAATATCAATAGGTTGATTAAGATTTGTCCCGACCTTGATTTAAATTTTAGATAGCTTTGTTGAAACTGCTGAAAAGTGAAAAAGAGTCGTCATCTTTGGTCTGAAATTCAGTCATCAGATAATGGATATTCTTTTGGATTTAATTACATACTATTCAAGAGAAGCGCTGTTTACTTTACTTTTATCGAAAGTATACTCCTAAACAGTCGCCTCTAGGTAACATTCTTGCCCAAAACAAAATGTTGGTATTCTATTGAATAGATTCACAAATTCGTTAAAACATATGAAACCTATGTACTGTGAAAAGCAGTTTGCAACTCCGAAGAGGTCATTATTTTATAATCTTACAAAGATTTTGTGATGAATTTTGAGATAAGATACTATTTCTAGTTAGAAAATATCTAATTTGGACGACCAAATTGCAACATACATCAAATATTCAAGAGGCTTCAATAATATAACTTGTTAAAAAAATAACGCTGAATAATCAAGTAAATTAAACCTTTGTTCATGAATTTAGCATAGATTTAATGCTAATATACAATCACAATCTGGAAAAGTTAAGTTGCGAAAGAATCCCATTGCTAACATTTATGGCGAATTAGTAAATAGTGCTAATCTGACTTGTTTTATAAAACCCTAGTATAAATTTAAGTATAATAATGCAAAATTTGGAAATAATTTTAAAAAATATGCATAATTGTAAAATATGCATGAAAATGCTATTAGATGGTACATTACGCAAAGTCATAATAAAGGAGTCTGAGAAGATAAGAAATATAGACAATAATGCCAAACCTATATGAGCATTAATTTATGGGTTGATGTTTATAATTTGCAGCGACAAATGCTGTTGTTATGGTAACAGAATCGGCACTTACATAAATCAACTTAAGTGACCTAAACATAATAACCTTGAAAATTGAGCAATCATTTAATTTTACAAAACCTACGAGTACATCTATTGTCTCGCTAAGAGTTTATTGAAAAATATTTGCCATTAATATTTCATAAATTGCTAAATAGATTAAATCTTTATCTGATAATATTACTTGTTTTCTTTAAGTTACACATATCTTTTAATATATGTATGCAATCTTTCTGGATATGTTAAATAATTCTATCATTGATGCAGACTTTCACTTCTCGAACAAATAGCTTGTTTCTCCAATGAAGACTGGTTTTGAATACTTGATTGCTCACCAGGATGAATTTGATGATGCCTTTTCATCTGATAAACATGCTCTATTTTATGCTGATCGGGAGAAGGTAATCTAAGGAATAAGTTCTCAAACTTGATAGGCAAGAAATTTTTACTTGCGTCAGAAACCAGCTTGTTTCATCGTTATTGGAAAGCCCTCAACAGGCAAAACTTCGATTGCAAAAATGCTTGTTAAGGAAATGCGATGCCAATATATCCATGGTTGGTTAACACGTAACTAGCTAATTTATAAATTAGCGACACATCTAATTGAAAGGAATATAAGCGAGGATACATCTATTGGAAAGTACTTCAAGGAAAAACTTCTATCTGGTAAAAATTTATCTCTTCAAGAAATGGCTACACTTTTGAAAGAAGCCACTTCTCTCCCTGAATGTCATCACTATGGATATGTTATGGATGGTTTTCCTAGTTACTTCGCTTTTGAGGAGCAGTTACAATTAGTAGAAAATATACCAATGAAACCCGATTATGTTGTTCATATTGAGGTAAATTTATGAATATTTAATAGAGTAATTAAAAATTATTAAAATTATTGTTCCTTTACCCACAATATTTTACATGCAACCCATTTCTATGATAAATCAATTGCAAATTGAAACCCCTAGTGGTAAGTGAAAATTCGCTATAATTACACTTTTCAACGATAAAGTGAGCTGAAAATCATTTTCCTTTATTCCCATCAAATACTATCTCTTTGTTTCTTTGATGAATGTTCGGAAAGAATAAATTTTAATTAATTTCACCAATATATCCTAAATATAATTGGATATATAATAATTAAAATTGATGTCAATAACAGCATACAATTTGGATGAGAAGACGGTCATCATATTTAACATAACTAACTTTCATTTATAAAATGTAGCACGATTAGTTTAAATTATGAATCTGCAGATTAAACCACGAATGTCATTTAACAATTTGCACGGAATATTTTATGTGTCCCTTATAAGAATCTGCTTATGGAGCAATTTTCATTAGAACTACAAGTTTAAATCCTTAACGTTGTAAATAAATAGTTGTGAAAATGGTTACTTTTCAGCCGTCCCACATTCTACTCTCAGTTTCGAAATAACTAGGTTTCAGATGAAGATTTGGAAAAAAGACTTGAATCCCAACGTATTGACCCAGTTAAAGGATCAATATACAACTTCCTCAATTTTAAAGATCCTCCAGGGCCTTTCCTGAAGCCAACGACAACCAAGTCTAGCAAAAAGCAGAACAGAAACGACGATGAATTGAATTTGGTTGAAGAACAAGAAGAGCGTCCTAAGTTAAATCAACTTGTACCTTGGCATCCTGATTTTCCTCGACTGTCAAAAGGAGTTATGGAAAGGTTACTTATCAGACCGGAGGATACTAAGCGAGAGCTTGTGAAACTATTCGAGCTCAATGCAGATGTTGTCCCTAAGTTATTGGATAAATTTTTCAAGCACTTTCCGAAGTCGCACGTTATCCGAATCGACGGAAACTGTCCACCAAGTCAGATGTTTCACGTAAGTGAGCAATCCTTGATTGACTAGGCTAATCAGTCTAGAATCAAAAGTTTATATGCCTTTAGGAATCACAATTTATATTTACTGCTTAGGAATGGAATAGTCTTGATCATTAAAAATGAGACTACTGCAATTAGATGGATCTTGCCATTTCTATGAGGTCAGTACCGATTTGGTAAAGTAAATTTAAATGAAGTCAATATGGGAAACCCCTTATATTGTAGTGCATATTTGTTTACTCGCATTCCTAAATAATCAATATCACAAATGCAAACGAATTTGAAGGCTGAGTTTTGTAATAATTCAAATAGTTTCTTTTGAGTTGGGTTCAGTGTTACCTTTGATATTTATAGAGAATAAAGTTATCTTTGATCCAAATATTAAAATAGATAATTAAATCAGGCAACTTAGCTAAATTGTCATTTGGCGTTCATAATATGCTCATGAATAGTCGGCCTTCACCAGGGCCACAATTTGAAATTTCGAAACAATTGAACCGAACAAGTATAAAGATCATGATGTGATATTTCATTTTGTATCCCCTCAATACTTTTTAGTTTCATTATCTAAAAGCCAGTTGCACCAAAATGAATAATTGTGGACTGTGTTGGCTTCAACAACTATCCACAAGGTGGACGATTTCACGGTTTTGCCAGCATTAACTCAAATATTCATTTAATTAATAGAATCTGATGGTCAAAGTTCGAGCCCTTCCTTTGGGTCCAGCTATTTCTCCATTTCCACTTTCCATGAAAATTGAAGGTGAAGAAGAACAAGAAGAAAATTTCGGGGAAGAGGATGAGTTTCTGCCAATTGAAAACGGAACAACAGGAGATGCTGATGGAAACGACGATGTAAATGTAGACTGGGATGAAGTTATTACTTCATTATCGGTTACCAAGATGCCTACAGAGCATTCGCGTTGGCATTTAAGTGAATGGCAACATTTTTGTCCAGTTCAACTATATGATGGAATTTTAGAGCATGGTAAAGTACGGTTTGCCTGTGGGTGAGTTTCATTCCTACTTAATTATTCATAGTAACGTGATTTTAACAAACACTTTTCCCAAGGTTTCTCGGGTTTCTATACTTCCTGTCTTCACGTGAAGCAATGGATTCATTCACTCGCAATCCACGACCTTATTTAGATTATTATGGTCAATTTCAGCCAAAATCAACAATCAGAATTGCCATATTGGGATTTCAGGAGTCAGGAGCGGCTGCCTTGTGCCAGCTCATTGCAGAGAAATGCGATGCCAAACTGATAAGCTTGTCAGAGATTCTTAAGACTGAAATTGAGGAGAAAGAGAAAGGCATTTTGGAGAAAATTAAGAATGGAGTTGAAATAGATCTCATTGATAAATTAAATAAGCAAAGGAAAAGAGAGCTGGATGAGATTTATACCAGTAAGTGAACTAAATTTAAGATTTAATCACTGCGATTAAATACTGCATTCGAGTTATTAATAAATGTATGAGAATTTTATATGTTAAGTACCCCAAGTATTCCATTATGATCTTGATGGGACAGAGCACCTTTGTTTTCTTTGGATTAAGTGAATAATATTGCCCATAAAACTAAAATAATCATGAACACAAAGAGCGGATTTCAGATATATGACTATTAGCTCATTAGTTTGTTACTTTCTGCTCTTATTGATCAATCTGAAGTACTCTTTTTGATATGTTAAGCCAATTTTGTTGACACTGGAGCAGACAGCTACTCGAATAAGCCCTGGATAATCCTCATTAATATCTGTGGCAAGATCTAGTTTGCTATGGCTCCTTTGATTATCTGTCCTACCTTAATGGAATAGAGGAAACAGAAGTACTATGTGAAACACGTTTATTTTAAATGTTGGTCTGTCACAGGGCTTCGTCATTAAGATACAGTTCAATGAGTATGGATTGGCGGCTGGCTGAGAGGTATCTGTTCTTACTACCTCACTTGTTCGCTACGCGACAAGCAGCATGGTCGCACCTTCTAACCTGAATGCTATTGAGATTTCTTTGTTCTGTAGCGGATTGCTACCTTAGTAAAGCCTGACTGACTCAGAAATCTCTATGGCAAATTCTCCAACATCTAGCTAGACTCCCAGAACCAGCTAAGCTATAGCCCAGCTATAAAGGAAACAGACGTGTAGCACGGAGCACGTTTATTCAATACGTATATCACGGATAAAGTGTTTACAGGAAGGAAACCAGTCATACAACATGGCGGATTTGATAAAACAAATGAGGGTCATTGAGCTGCTATTGGCTGCGTGCTCTTGTCCTCAATCAGTACGCGAAGTTGTACGGCCGCACCTCAAGCCTATGTGTACACGCATGCGATGACGTGTCCCACATTACTCCCCCCCTAGAGCGTTTGTTGGATCCTAAAAGGAGAAAGAAAACGCTCGATTTAAGGACTGTACATAGTCGGCCAGCGAAGAGGGGAAGGTAGATTTTCGGCCATAGAGAAACAGGGTATTGGGTAGAGGTGGGACGGGTGTTGGAACTGCTAAGACGGGATTGTTGGAGTGAGAGGTAGTCGGATTGTGGACTTCGTGCATGCTTGTGGACCTTGCCGGCTGAGCGAGTGAGGCAGTATTTGGTCCACTGACGAGCGTCCTGTTGGATGTACCTCGATATGCAACGATCGGTGTTCAATGTTCTGGTTGAACGGATGTTTGGTTGCGAACAATCCATGGTCAAATCTTCCGGCGTGTGCTTGCCTGACGATTGNTGAGCTTTTGGAGGCATCAGGCGAAGATCATTGACGGCAACGGTGCCTTTTGTTATGAGTCTGGTACCAGTTTAGCTTATTTTGAAAGGGGACCGTGAGGTCATAAGGGCGTTAAAGGGTTAGGTCCGTTCATTTGTAAAATGATGGTACTCTGAACACTTAAGGCAAACTAATTGGTCAAGGACACTTTTAACTTAATCAAAATCGAAAACTCTATAATTTACGGATGTAATGTTATTAAAAGCTCCCTTTTATATAAATCAGAAAGTAATTGGGAACCAATTTTGATTTTAGTGAGCGAAGAAACATATACTGAAAAAGGTAAAACTGAGTTTTTGCTATTTTACACAAAATTTATCACTTCTTGATGACCTTTTACTTTACACTTTAGATGGGGGTTCCGCGAGAGAAGGCAAGTTTAGTACTAATCTTCGCCATTGTTTGCGGCGTCCACTTAACTTAACTTACAGGTGTTAATGCGTAGCCACTTTTAATCAAGTGAATTTTAAGCCACCAAATATGTTTTACTCAGAAATCTTTGTTAACAGTTTGTAAAACTTTAAAGCTTACGCAAGAGATCATTTTGAACTTTAGATAACGAAGCGGAACCACCAGTCCAACGTAAGTGAATT